CCATTGGAGAAGGTGAATTCGGAAAGGTGAAGCTCGGCTGGAAGCAAGACGGCGGCACGCAGGTTTGTCGAACCATTCTCTCGGCTATACGTTTGTCACTAACCATGCCACAGGTTGCTATCAAGTTGATCAAGCGAGACAATGTGGGCAACAACCCCTCCAGGCTGGCCAAGATTTATCGTGAAATTGCCATCCTCCGCGGCATCTCGCATCCCAACATTGTTCGCCTGCACGAAATGGTCGAGACTGAGCGACATATCGGCATCATTCTGGAGTATGCCTCTGGAGGAGAGTTATTCGACTACATCCTGAATCATCGCTACCTGAAAGACAACGCCGCGAGGAGACTGTTCGCTCAGCTCGTCTCAGGCGTTGGCTATCTCCATAAGAAGGGCATTGTCCACCGAGACCTAAAGCTTGAGAATCTGCTGCTCGACAGGAACCGAAACATTATCATCACCGACTTTGGATTTGCCAACACATTCGATGCCGAGGAGGAATTAAATCAAGAAGAAGAGCTTAATCTGAGCGACAGGGAATTCGTCAAGAGAGCTGGCCTAGACAAGGTCAAAGCCAATGGCACGAGGAAGGGTGATTTGATGCAGACAAGTTGCGGCAGTCCTTGTTACGCAGCTCCCGAGTTGGTTGTCAGCGATTCCTTATATACGGGACGCAAGGTTGATGTCTGGAGCTGCGGTGTGATCCTTGTGAGTGTTGCCGCGACAACGTTGCGCCTACTTGCTAACAAGAATGCAGTACGCCATGCTGGCTGGATACCTGCCCTTTGACGATGACCCTGCCAACCCCGAAGGCGACAACATCAATCTGTTGTACAAGTATATCGTCAACACGCCTCTGACCTTCCCCGAATACGTCACGCCGCATGCCCGCGACCTGCTCCGACGAATCCTAGTCCCCAACCCTAGAAAGCGAGCGGATCTGTTCGAGGTGGCGCGGCACAGCTGGCTGAGCGAATACGCTCACGTTGTGGAGTTCATTACCAGCAGCACCACTACGCCCGGCGAGATCCAGAACACAACTGTTCCGGCTGAGGACGACAAGCCCATGGTCGCGCGTAGCGCATCTGTCCGCGAGCCTTCAAAATCTTCCAAAGCATCCGGCCCCACGTCGGTGGGAGGCCTGGCCTCCAAACATGGCAATATCGACCCCGAAGCCGAGAACGCCAGCGCGAAACCGACCCAAGCCAAGGATTCCAAGCGTCGCACCGTACAGGTCGAGTACGTCGCACCGACCACACAAACGCAGCGCGGAGAAGCTGCCGCGCAATCTCCCGGCCGAGGCAAGTCGAGAGCTCGTTCAAGCAGCCAAGGGCCCGTCGAGGTCAACAATAGCCCGAAGGATAAACCCCTTCCCCGCGACCCACCAGTCTCAAAGGACAGTTATTCCAAGTCGAGCCGACAGAACACAAGGCCCCCGAGCGCTTATCGCAACAACAACGTACCAGCAACTACGAGGCCTGGTCGCGATACCCGTTCCACGTCCGACAATGTGTATATGACGACCGGCGGACGACCGCAGACGGGAGGATCCATGACTTCGTCGGGGTCCATGGGCCTTGGCAGTGGTGCTCGCGCCTCGTATGGCCAACCAATCCCTCCCTCGGTTGCGGGCACAAACGTGCATGGTAGCATCCAGCAGCCCAACGCACACGAAGCGCAGACCATGGGACACCCCAGCGTCAGCGCCGTGCCTCCCAAGTTTGCCCGCGTATCTGGTTTTGAGCATGGCAGTGAGAAGCCTGTTCCTTCGCCGACCAGTGAAGGCAGGGGTCACCGACGATCCAGCACTCTCACAGATATCGGCTCCAAGCTCCTCGGACGCAATGGATCCATGTTTGGTGGTAAGAACAAGAGGCGGTCCGAGCACCCGAGCGAGGATAAATCGAGGAAGTACCCGCCCGTCAGCATGCCCAACAACATGCCTGGCAATGGTGAACCCCGAGCCTCGATAGATTCGAGAGCGTCGCGCCGGTCCTTCTCCTTGGGGTTCGGCAAGAAGCGCAGCGGTAGCATCAGCGGTTCTCATACATCCCTGGAGAAGCCTCAGAACCCTAGACGATTCTCGCTGCTTCCGCAATCTTTTTCTAGGGCCATGGGCATCAACAAGGACTCTGGAAGCCCCCCGCCCGACTCTCAGATGTCTCAACAAGACCTTCCCATCCAGGACCCTGCTGAGATGGACGACCAAAGAAGATACGGCGATCGGCCAGTGCAGTCTCGTGGCCACGCCGGTTACTTTGATGGCGCCGAGTACGACTCAAGTTACCAGCGCAATCATGAGCAGCCACATTCCCACTCGGAGCCGATGCTGCAGCAGCAATCGTACCAACCACGTGCCTCTTCACAATATACTCGCCAGGCCAATGCCATTCCTCCGCACATGCAGCAGCAGCAGCAGCAACAGCAAGGATCCGTGCTCAACACGGGCTCCGACTCTTCTTTAGAGAGCCAGCAGCACCGTAGACAGGGCAGCGTGCCGTACCAAGCGGGTGGCTTTTCCGAATCAGATGGCTATGACGGGCGCAAGCCCCTCGGCGCTAGAAACAACCGCGGCTTCTTGCAGAAGCCCAATAAGAAGTTTACCGACGCCTACGATCAAGACAACTATCATCATGGCCACGAGGGCAGCAGTGGTGCGGCCAAACGGGTCATGGACTTCTTCCGCCGGCGTGGCAAGGCGAGAGGTGGCGAGGAGAGGTAGAGGGCTCTTGAACCGCTTGAATGCTCGCCGTGTTCAATCAGGCGCCTAGTACCGCCACTCGTATTTGACGTTCACGCATCAAGGACGAGCCGTCGGCCCCTCCCGACGCACTGAGCGCTAAGACGCGTTCTCTTCACCCCTCTCCAACTACGCTTGTACGACTTGTAATTATGCGATATCATTCGAACGATGGGGTAACGGCTGTGGAATGGCCGACGTGGCTCACTGCACCTAATAGCGGACGGCGGTTAACAGATCCCTCGAACTTGGAAGATCATGCAGCTGTGGTACCACGCATGGACAACAAGAGAGGCATGACAATGCGTGGGCCTGGGCTTGTTGGCCGGAATGGTGAACCTTTGGGTCTCCCTGTTCGTACCAACTACAGGATGAGACGCGAAGGGCGAACGCTGCGTGGGGCGACGCGGGATGGTCGCGGAGACAACACTGTCCGCAGCATGAGGCTGTGTTTGTTCGGATTCTGTACACCGTTTTTTTGAAACGAAACGAGCTGCGTCGGCTCAAGCATGCAAGCCCCTCCGGATTTGAGGGCAGTTTGGCGTTGCGGCGAAGATATTGTACGTGAGAACTTAGAGTGTAGTGTAAATTGACTAGCTAGGCTGTTGGAAGCCACAAATTCTGGATTTGAAGATGATATTATCTCGAGGCCAAGAAGAAGAGCCTTCTCTCCATACTATGAGAGTTTGTCAATTGATGTTGCCACAGAAGCCAGGCCTGCCATTCATGGTTGACGTTTTGGCCAATCTGCGGCTTCGCCCTCAGAACTGACTCGCCAACACAACGTCTCGGAGCTACTCTGGGCTTCTCCCCCACCTTCTCTTTGCAGTCATAATTTCCGCAACATTGCTCCCAGTTCAATCGGTTCGGTGGTGTAGTTGGTTTATCACGTCAGTGTAACATCCGCTCTCCTTAGAGTCGTGTTCACTGAAGGTCGGGAGTTCGAGCCTCCGCTGAATCACTTTTTG